TCGACTGATACCACTCGTGCTGTGCAAGTTATGACACAAGTCATGGAGAACTGTAGATAGTTTCCAAACCTCCCCGTGTTGAGTCTTGAGTCAAGCAAGACTCATCGATAGTATGGGTACGAGGTTAATCAATCACAGCACAAGCTAATTCGAGGGCCGAAGTTGGCAAACGTCGTATCTCCTTTCCACTCCGAGTTGAGCATGCCAACAATGTTCCAATGACGAACATGATGGCTCCGTTCTGAGAGCAGCACTAATGACTTCATGAACAAGCCTCATTGGTCTCTTTACAAAATAGTACGAAGTTCTCAACTTAGTCATATTGCTGGAGTGTAACGTTAAACTAGTCAACACAGCGCTAAGACAGGTTGATGATGTCTTGGAATGACTCCGGGTATGATATCCGCTGAGTCGACTGCTACTAATGGGTCGTTACGGCAGTCAAAGAGAGAGGGAGCCATGCATGAGTTTTGACGAGTCATACAGTATCGATTCAATGTCAATTATCAGCGAACGTGTATATACTGTACGAACCAATCAGTGGTGAAGAGAACTCGGTGGCATCGAAACCTCGAGAGGCAATGTTAACCGATCGTTACAAAGGATGTTGACGGGTTAATAAAAGACGTGTCTAGTCTCTGAAGGAACTGTAATAATACTATCCTTCGGAGCAATGCTAAGACTCCTTCCTTAATTCTGTAGTGTTCCTCACGTGTTAACCATATTTGACTTTGATCATTGAGTTTTGATTCTTGAGTCCTCAAACTGTGTTAACGCAAAAGCACTATGAGATGAGATAGTGTAACCTTATTCTCACTGAATGAGATGATAAACAATACCAGTAAGAATTATGCCAGATTTTGCATGCCCATGCCATAGTCTAAATTAGCCACCGGAGTAGCAGAACGCTGAGACCGAGACATCGGCCCGCCTGCTGCTCCCATGGGTGGGGCGAGGACTGTTTGAGCTGAATGTGTGAGGTCTCCACCTAACATGTTCGGGTTGAGATTCTCTCGTACTTGCACACGCTCGACCCCTCCGTCCAAGTAGATAGTTTCAAGCTGCTTATTGCGCTTCTTACTCTCACCAGCCACCACTTCAGTCTGATTCACTTCGACATAGCGGTCAACAGTCTGTACTTGAGGCACCTCCACAACACGTTCAACGCGTTGGACTTGAGTCTCCTCGATGATCTTATCAACATACTTCCGCACCACTTGAGGTACCGGGACTTCATTGATCTTCTCCACATACCGAGGGACCACCATTTCGACCTCCTTATCGACGTACTGCACCTCGGGG